TGGGGCCAGGAGAGTGGATTTTGGAGAGAGCCAGTTCCCGTCGCTGCCACAGACTGAGTCCGGCAGAGATGAACGATGGGTAGGCTTCCCACGACGCCTGCTGCCGCCACGGGACACAGGACACCATTACTGTCGCCAGATGAAACAGAAACTAGCTAATTCCAGCCCTGCTAATCCATATCTGAAAGAACTCTTCATAAAGCAAGTGGTCTCGCCCCATTTCTCAGCAAATATTTTGTAGTTCAGAGTGGTAGGGAAGTCTCAAATCATTAAGATTTGATTACTTCTGCAGCAGCAGCCGACTCCACACATGAACCAGCACATCAGACAGCACCACCCATCAATCATAAATAACAGTGAGCGTGTGTGCCCCTCTGCCCCAGGACCCCTTGGAAGGCAGGGCACGCCACCTCATTCATCTGGACCTGCCATGGGCATCTCCCAGAGAGGGTGGCCCCTGAAGAAAGGCTCTGAGGTCCCAAAGACCCACCCTGGGCCCGTAGGACCACACCTGGAGGTCACTGGCTCAGGGGACACTCTGGATTGCTCGGCCAGCTCTGAATACGCGTCTGTCCTCTTTCTCTCAATTATAAAGCCTTTTGCCTTGACTCAGCTCTAAGATCACAAATCAAACCCCAACCTGCTGCCATGGGCTCAAATTCTGACCCCCAGGACCTTGCAGAGCAGAGTGGAGCTGCCTGTTGGGTTCCCAAAGCTGCAAATCATTAGGGAAGTGGACACCGTGCTCCTGTCAAGTGGCTGGCGGGTAAGAAACGCCAACCTTTCAGCCGGCAGCTCAACACTTAACTCACAACACCACCAGGGGACCGCAACCACAAAGCGCTGTTGTGTGCCACTGAGTCTGAACTGACTCATAGCTGACCCTCCAACGGGTTTTCAGAGGCGGCAGTAAATCACATGGAGACTGTCCACCTTCTTCCTGCAGAGCAACTGGTGGATTCGAACCGCGTTCCTTTGTGTTCACAGCATAACTCCTTACCGCTGAACCACCAGAGCTCCCAAGTGCAAAGTCATGAGCTAATTAAGAGAGCAAGTAAATGTCAAGTGCTTAAAACTCTGCTGGGGCACAGATTAACTCCCTTCTCCCCCCAAACATCTACAAGAAAGCAGCTGTTGCTGAGGCAATTCCAGTGCATGGTAACTGTGTGTCTTTATAGGGCTGAAGAGCAAGCAAAGCCATGAAAGACTAAGGTGCACCTGACCCAAGCCATGGCATTTCTAACTGCTTCTTTCTTACACATCAGCAAAGCTGGACAATGAATAAGGAAGATAGAAAATGAATGCATGTCTTCAAATTGTGTTGGCAGAGTACTGAATACCCCATGGCAGCCAAAGAACAGAGAAAGCATAGTTTAGAGTGCGTTTTACAGGCATGGATGGTGAAGCTCTGTCTCAGTCTGGGCATGCTCTCAGGAAGAGTCAGTCCCTGAGAACAGACAGTATGCTGGGCAAAGGAGAGGAAGACCCAACAAGCTGGAGTGTCACAGTGGCTGTAAAATGGGCTTCAGCCTGTCAGAGATGGTGAGTCGCAGCAGGCCGGAGCAGGAGGCAGATCTGCTGTTCATGGGGTCGCCATGAGCTGGAGGTGACTCGCAGGCACATGGCAACCGCCCTGTGTCAGAGCAGAGCTGCGCTCCGTAGGAGTTCAGTGACTGATTTTTTTTAGAAGCAGCATCTCCAGGCCTTCTTCCCAAGCACCTTGAGAGAATTTCAAGCACCAGCCTTGAGTAACCAACCAGTCAAAGTACAATGCGGGACTCCTCACCACACAGTAACTTTTAGCAGATGCTTGATACACAGTAACTTTTAGCAGATGCTCGGTACTGTTAGGACTTCTGTTGATTATTCGCTCTCCACACTGGCTGAGGGTGTGTAGCCCCTGGAGAGATTCTGGGGCCCCGCAGGCCTGGCCAGCCTAGAGAAGCCCCTTCAGGAGATGTTTCCTGCCTATGCTGAGCCAGCCCCAGGTCACCACTGGACACAGAGATCTCAGGACTGACAGGAGGCAGACAGCTGGAAGCGGTAGGAAAACATGGGGCCTGGGGCTGCAGGAATACAACAGAGGGCCCTGGCCCCCCAAAGCAATGAGGAAAAAACACACAGGGCATGGAGACAGGCGCAGCCAGAGAGCTTTATTCTTTCCGACTGAGGGTTTAAGGCAGCCTCTGTTATCCAATCTGAGCACTTAATGAAAGCGTTCCCCAAGTTTTCAAGGCTGTTATTTTGATTGATGAATGTTGCTCTCGCCTATCCTTGATGATTATCCTTTATTACAGCACTTGCCTTTTTTTTTTCCACATCCACTTCACAGAACCGCCTGCGCCTGGCTCTGTGAGACTAAATAAGAGAGCAGAGCTTCCTGGCAGCAAAACGGCACACAGGGTCCTCTGTGCCCTGGGGCAAGAGGGCAGCAGGGTTACTGCAGAGAGGCCAAAGACCTTCCTAAATGCACCTCTGTGCCAGGACGCCAGCCCTTCCCGCCAACCCTGTCCAGATCCAGTGGGCTGATAAAACCCTGGGTGACGTGGCAGTTAAAACTCTGCTGCTTCGGAGCCATTCAGGCCCCAAAGGCTAAAACCCAAACCAACGATGGCATTCCAACTCCCCCCAACCTCCCCTGTCCTGGAGTAAAGGCATTCTGGTGGCATGGTGTGGAACGTGTGGGGCTGTTAACCAAAGGGTTGGTGGTTCCAATCCACTAGCCACTCCCATGCAGACTTAAAGCCTCAGATGCCAAATGGAGGTCTTAGTGGGCTGGATCTGGTGGCTCAGGGATGGAGTAGGACCGTGCACAAGTTTTTAAAGGCTGAATTTACAAAAGCAGTTTGCCAGGTCTTTCTTCCAAGGTACCTTTGGGTAGAAACACACCACCAACTGGTACCACTCAGGGGCTGCCTGTCTCAATGGAGTTGTTTACCTGCAAGTCACTTATCCTGGGGGTTCTGAACCCTAGGAAGACTGGGAAGCAGTGCAGCTCCACTAAGAACCAGGGGCCAAGGGAGTCCCATGGCCTGAAGGAAGATCATCTGTCCCCAAACATCAGAAAAGGAAACTTGGCCTCAGAGAAGTCAAGTGACGTGGTTCAAAACCCAGAACCCCAGTGGCAAAACACTGGTTCTCCTCTCCCGCGAGGCAAGAACCAGCTCAATTTATAATTCACAAAGCCTCTCTTCATTCAACAGCTCAAGGAATATCTCAGTTCTTCCTGAAATCCCTCCTACAGGTTCAGGATGCACAGAACCTGCCTCTGATGTCAAAACTTTCCATTTGTCCGTGTCTCTACACACTGTTTAAGAGCTGGTATTCCGGCTCTAAAAGGGAGCCATGGTGTGGGTCAGTGGTTAGCGAATCGGGCTGTTAATCAAAAGGTGTGTGGTTCAAACGCACCAGCTGCTCTGTAGGAGAAAAATGAAGCCGTCTGCTTCAGTAATAATCTACCGCGGGGGAAGCTGACAAGGCGCTTCAACTCTGCCTACCAGGTTGCTGTACGTTAGGGGCTAACTTGCTGGCAGTGGGTTTGGTTCTGGTGCAGTGGCTTGGACTTGATATCGCTCTAATCTAGACTCTTCGATGTACATTCTCACTCCGGGAAATGAGAGCTATGCAGACAGCTGACAGCTGGTCTAAGGGAAGCAGCAGCACCAACAACGAAAAAAAAGGCCTTTCTCCCTGTTTGGGGGGGAGGGCGGGGGCCGCCGCCGTCCTTCCATAACTTGCACACGGGCCCAGCAGGCAGGAATGACAATCAAATTTCTTCAGAGGTACTTGTCCACAATGGCAGCACAAATATCATGTAAGTGAATTTCCTTAAATGGTCCAAAAGCCCATTTCTTTTTAGGGGGAAAGGATTCAGTCAATTTCCCATCAGTTAGGGAGCTTTCTCTCGCTCTGCTGCTAACCAAAAGGTTGACAATTCAAATCCATTCAGCGGCCATGTGGAAGTGAGGCCTGCCAACCTGTGCCTATAATCATGACAGCCTAGAAAACCCTCTGGGGCAGATCTCCAGGCACATGCATCAGAATGGCACCCCAAAACACCAGCCAGCTGCTCTTCCAACTGAGGGCCTCAACTTCACCAGAAAACCAGGACTTAACTCTACAAAGTGTCTTGTTCCAGGAAGTAGAGGCCGGGGTGACTGTCGCCCCAGGGAAGCTGGGAGGGTGGGGACAGGAGGAGGACGGGTATGTCCAGGGCACGTTAAGTGCCACACAGCAGCGACACGTCCGAGCTGACCACGCACTTGTGGACAGTGAGACCCCTAGAAGCTGCAGGGCTGTGACCCTCAGATATGCATTCGTGACACTGGGACCCCGTCAGACCCTGTCACCTGGGAGCCTGTCCACGGTAGTCTTTCCATATGGATCCCCTGTCACCGGCCCTCAACTGGAAAGGAGAGGGCAAATGAAGTGGTCAGCGTGCAGAGTCCATCAGGAGAGAGCAAAGAGGAACTGGGCTCGGAGAGGGGAGGAGTGAGAAGGCACATAAAACCGGTTCAGGTTCAGACTTTCTGGGAAAGATAGCCCTTCCTTGGGTTAACTTCCTTGGCTCAGAAGGACTTGCTGGAATAAACCGAAATTGGCCAAATGAAAAAGAATATGAAATAGAAATTAAATGCAAATAGTATGAAAAATACTGGGAAAAGTAAGCTGTACAAGGGAGTGATTTATGATCGTTTTCTTTAAAGTGTGTTCCTTTGGATGAAATGCCTACAAACTCTGACTTTCGTTCCTGCGACTTTGTGCAAACTTATCAGCACGTCTAAGGCAGCACTAACTTTTTAAAGTTGTGCAACTGGGGCTTTGGAGCCCTTCCGACCTGCACAAAGACGGACACGTGCAAGCTACTCCCGCAGATCCAAGCAGCCCCCGCCCGGCGCGCCCCGTCCGTGCCCGCCCGGACCCAGAGGGGCTGTGGGTTCGAGCCCGCCCTTGGGAAGTAGAGAGACCGCGCGCGGAGAGAAAGGGAGAGGAGTCAGTACCGGCGGGCGGGTGTCCAGCTTTCGTCTCCAGCTTCCCTTCGGGAGGCGAAGACATGGTGGCCGGCGGGGTTCGGCGGGGCTTGACGCAGCTGCTACTCGCGGGCCGGGGACGAGGGAGCTAGACACGCGCGGCCCGGGTTGCAGACACGCCCCCAGCGCCGGAGGAGACGTGGCGCGCCCGCCCGGCGAGCCCCGCCCACCTCCGCGTGCGTGATGACGCAAGCCCGGCCCCGCCCCTTCGCTTTCCGTGGCGCCACTACTGGGAGCATGCGCAGTCAGCAGCGACACGTGGAAAGTCTGGTCTGCGAGGCCCCGTGGGGT